TTATTTGCGTCGTGCGACGCTTTTCGGCTTCCATCACTGATTGCAGCTCTGGTGGAAATTCCATTGCTGATGTCGATGCTGCACCTTTAGAGGCTGGCACAGCATTGTTTCCTGCAGATGATTCTGCACGTTCGGTTGTCTTTTTTCGAACAACTTCCTTTCTTTTCCTGGAGCTGCTTGCCACTGGTGCCAGCTCGACGGGGGTTTTGGTCTTGGGACCATTGTTTTCTGCTCTGATCGGTTCAGAATCAGTCATCTCTTGATCGGGAAGATTTGTGGACTTCCCTGGGACAAAGGCCTCACTCGCAAATAGACTTGATAGTTTTTGCGCGAGGCCAGTAGGTTTTGGACACAATGGTGTCCGTTCAAAGCCGGCTGAAGTTGTCGGCTTTGGGCGATTTCTTCTCACCGGAGGCATTTTAAATACCTCGCGACGGTTAACAATTCGAGAAGTCAAGCACAGAAGTGATCATAGAAATAGAAAATGGGAATTTTCGAATTTCTCGAAATGTGCGTTTTGTTTGCCCGCCGGTGGGTAGCACATGTTGTAATGTAACGAGGGCCTCTCTGACTACCGTTGTAGTGTTTGGTACCGCATTATCTTTCCTCATTCCCAACATCATTATCGTCGTCTTGGTCGTCTTATAAGTTATCGGGAGCGTATCTTTGACGGAGGGGAAGATAACTCAGCTTATAGTTGAAAAGGTGTTACTCAATCTCGTGTCTGCATACTCTATAGTGAGAGCTGGAGGTTCGTAGGGGACACCACTGGCAGGTGTTGATAATAGTCCCCCTATGTTTTGATGAGCTAGTGGAAGGAAAGCATGTATATGTATGATAGCTTGGTCTGTAGCTTCGGAGTTGTTCATGCTTAGTGTTCTGTCATACCCAACACCTTCAGATAATCTCTAGTCGTCTTTAGTACCTTTAGTCACCACTAGTATTCGCTCGAACCTTTAGTCACTCTAGATATTTATATTACCTACAATTCCAGCCTTAAGTTCCTCTCAGTGATCTCAAGTAGACCTTCAATTATCTTTTGCAGTCTATCCATGTTTAAAAATATACTCTGTACGATATTATATGGATAAATATGATGAAGTAAAGACGACTTGATATTTTACAACTATGGGAACATTGGACTTATATATACATCTTAGGAGAGAAATTCCCACTAATCTCATGTGCCTGTCAGTCCTAGTGATGACCAGCCACCTCTCATCTTGTTGTGATCCTAGTCTGCGCAAGGAAGCAAGGGCTTCATAGACAAGACTCAGTGATGAAACAACATGACTTTAGTTATACAAGCTCATATTAATACATGACTCAAATGTGAGTCGTGCTCATTATCAGGAGCTTAAGGATCAAACAATGTCGATACGCATTACATGAGTACATCAGACAATCAATGGACACGGCTGTAGGATAGATCGTACATGTATATTATCAGGTCCATTTACTTCTTAGGTAGATTATGCGTTCATCTTTAGATATCTATATTATCCTCAGATAGTCTAAATACATTTGCCCACCACCAGAATATTCATTCCACATTCTTCTTTATATATACTATCCTCCCTCAATACTTATCCATCTAACCTCGTAATTATAACACATCTACCATGATGAGCCAAGATACACTGTACTACGTAAATATCCAGACGTATATGCGACAGTAGGCGCGATTAGCGCACTCGGGACATATGTAGATAGAGTCGATCTTGTCGGGAACCTGAGACGAAACAGATAATGATTGAGTCCTAAATTCGAGAGTCATAATTTCCAACACATATACATGCTTTTCTTCCACTAGCTCATCATAACATAGGCCCTAAACTAGTACCAACACAACAACAAGTGCTAGTTTTTCCCGGCTGCCATACACTCGCTAATGGCCATCGTTTCGTTGGCTGGAGAGGGTAGATGATGATGGGCTAAGGGCTCCTCTAAGTGTATGATTGAATGAGGACTTGTAAGGGGTGGTACTGTTTGAGGGGAGCTGTATGGGAGGCATAGGAGGTTTCAGAGCAGCATGTAGACAGCAGGGCGGAGACATGGGTCATAGAGGTGGTATCCAGGCTAAAGGGTGTCATCCTACATTATGCACAAGATAAGTGCATAACCGCTCGGCCAAAAGGCCAGACCAGAATCATAGAACAGTAGATTCTGGTTATATCTATTAAAGGTCTAGGGGGTATCTGGAATGATAGAAGTGAACGTTGACCGACAAGTCAATACTCTACGAATCGTAAGATATTAGGGATTTAAGGATCAGAGATAAAAGGTTAGGATCAGTGAGGTTTTGGTTTTACTGAACTTATATTTCGGTAGTAAAAAGTGATAGTGTTTAATCTACATCTAATTGTCTATCTGTTGTGCTGGCTCGGTTGAGTTGTAAGGAGACAGGGGAACGGAGGATGGGCTGCTGGATTAGGAAAGGGTGGAAAATACAGGCTGGTGCACAGACGCTGTTCATGTACTCTACAATCTCTTCACCTGCCGAGTATAGTGAATTAATCTATCCAATATAATATCATACTTCACATCATCCATTAGATGATATTATCAATCGTCGGGATGCACATCTAGCATCACCTTCATAGATCACCATCGTCAGTAAGAGTTCACATTTGATACCTACTGACACCCATTTGGCCACAGTGATACGCACTCAGTGTCCATCGTGCCATCACCCAGCGTGAGCGCGCCATCTCCGCGACTCACCATTGCACATGAGCCCGTGTAATTCCACCGACGGACAGCAGAGACATAATTGCTATATACCTCACAGCTCATAACCACAACACTATCTATGTTCTACCTCGCTTAGGTAGAAGCATTGTGTTCTGATTACGTGATGGAATAACATTCACACCACCGAGATCATTATCAACCGAGACCTCACCAAAGCTGGTAGCGATCGAAGATGAGTAGTCTTCGTCTACTCCGCACTGCGTGTGGTTCGGTCTGGCATGCCTAGATTTCAACAGTCTCCACATGTATAGATTATACAGAAGGCAATCCTGACAGGAGGGGATATACTAATGGTATAGATATCCTTGGCCTGTAGGTAGAGAGGACCTGCATGTTCTTCAGAGTCAATGATTCAGAAAGGACAATAAAATGAACTAATAACAACAAGTGCAAAGAACTGTGCTGTTGTCATAGCAATGTAGCAACATAGAAAGAATGGTAAAATTATAAAGTGAACGATGGGAAGGGGAATTCTTACAGTATACTAGTCTGTTATCGCAAACACGGAAATAGATTCATGGGATTGCTTGATGAGAGGCTAGGATTGATTCCGATCATTATTTAGTAGAAGACTTGTCCAACAATCAGAGGCTACAATGTCTTTATATATCTACGTATTTACCACGATATTCACCATATCCGCTAGCCATTCTAAATATAGCGTGCATAGCCTGATTTGTCTCATGGTTCTGGGTTAGAGCTGTAGTTTCCGATTAGCAGTATTCTTTTAGCTACAACAATAGGTTGCAGCTTCAAATAAATATTATCGTTTGATACTTCTCCCTGAGCTATATGCCTCTTTGATATGCTGCCCGCTAGATAATCAATGAAATAAACGAAGCCAAACTTTAACAATAACCCTAAATATGACCCCATAAATCCCTAAGAAAAAAGCCTGCGATATAACACAATTAGGTTAGGAATTACCGAGTACAACTTAATACAAACAGAGTGAGCTGAAAATATTGTGTGCATTTATAGATACAACTTGAGAGTTCTTTCAAAAAACACTAACAGTAGAGAATTCGTTAACGCTCATACTGTCACGGTTCGGGCATTGATGCATTAGCAATCAGATACACGAATGTAGTTGATAATTTTCTCCATGTTTAACTATCGAAGTATCACTTCAACTATTCATATCTTTATTACAATATCCAGAATATCCTTTGATGGCTGATATCAGCCTTTCGCATATTCCACTCATAATAGTTTCCAGTCTTGCTACCAATTACTAGAATATTCCAGTTACGACTGAACTGATCTGGAATAGAGCTAGTCTACTGTAGAATTTTAGAAGAACGTGATTACAATCACGTGCCACAAAACAATCGACTTACAAGCTGTTATACCTACCATAGGTATATCTAGCACGACGTTAAATGATAATAATAAAAAAATACCATAGGTATATCTGGTCACTGATGGAGGTCGTCAGCCAGAAAATTCCGTCGCTTAATATGTAATTTAACCTACCTATTACATAGGCCTTTAGTTGCCTATTCTACCATAGACGTGGGGTGATGTGTCTCCATGATAGTGTGAACAAAAATTCCTGACGAAGAGCTTGATTCTTGAGTCAGTCTGGTGTCGAGAGGAGCACAATTCGAATAGAAGAATTCATCCTCAAAGGCTTTTGACCACTTCCAAATTTTAGCTTCGCCAGGCATTTTAGGTAATCTTTAATTGTCCTCCCTTCAAGACTTTACGTATTCCTCGAAACTAAGTTCACATTATTTCTTAAGCTGTAGAGTCTTGGAGTATTTGTGCCAAAAGCTATTCAAGTCAAGGAAAACATAACCAGACAGCTTTCCGTGCAGCTCAAACTTCAATTTTCAAATCATCTGCTTAGTTCAAAGATAAGTCACTCCGAGTCGCCTAAACATTGACTTTGCACCTAAGACATCTAGCTTTTTGGCCATGGCTGTCATAATTGTAACGGTTGTTAAAATTAGGAATCCTTGTAGCAAATGCTAGCTAACCCATTCAAGGACACCAATGAAATCTCCTGGAAAGATGTGGGAACAAGGAGAGCCTGGAAGATGCCCAGAGAACTTTCTGAGGACATACTGATGGCCCCTGAGTGTGATGGGCGTGTTCAGAATCGCCAAGATAGTTGTCGAGTATCTGAATTATAGAAAACATAGAGAGAACCTTATCGTCATGAAATGCCTGAAATCTTATTAAAACCCAGTCGCTACCAGTATTATTCTTCTTCCCAGAAATTTATCATTAGTGTACTTCAACTATGTGGTTGACCAAGCATTTTTAAATGAAGCTGTGACAATGATAATCTCGAGCGTTTCAATCAGATGGTTGAGGGAACACCAAACCTCGCGATCAGTTGCGTGATTCAGAATCAAAGTGGCTAGTGGCTCGAATGGCGCCAAATCAAATGATGTAGATTTCATCCAGCTTCCAATAGATTTTAATCGAGAGCCGATTTTATTATTCCTTTCCTCTCTCAGGGATGCGTTGTTTATATAGTGAATGAAACGGTCAATTAGATTTTGAATAGGAATTCGACATTTACTCAAATCCTTGGGCTTTTCAAAGACTCGATCGCAAGGAGTAGTGAAATAGGAGTTGTATAAAGAGCGAAAAGTCTTTAGTATATCATCCATTGGGTTATCTTTAAGGTATCTTTCCGTTTCGCTATCGATAAACATTGCGTGGATAGGCTGTGGGAACAAAAGTGTTGATATGCCGTTGATAGAGGTAAAATTAAATGACGGAATGATGTTTCGAAAAAAAAGATTCAGTCTGATAGATGGCTATATATAATTTGAGTCATTTTACAATGTGCAGCTCCTTGCACCCCCCCTTCCCCCTATCATTTCACAATTAAACGTAAGCAGTTCTTGCTTTCTCTGTACAAAATTTAACAGGCCTTACCATCTTGGTTTTGATTCTGATTTAGTCTAGCCCGATTTATCGTCCTTTGGGCCCATGCAGGTGTCTATCAAACTCTCTAATTTACATTGGAGGAAGCCTTGCGGTAAAAGCCCCCTTGGCTGTCTGATAAATTCTGCACAATTACAGTCCTACCTTTTGGGAATGCGCTTACACTGTTGCCAGTGAAGACTCCGTCTACGACCTGTCTTTCTGTTTTCCCTTCGTCACCCGATTACAGCCTCGATCTCTCCAGTCAGCCGAACCTGCTCTAGAATTTCTTCCTTTGAATCCACTGTGTAATTCTTGTCATATATTAGGCGTTATTAATCATGGTCTCGAAAGATCGGGTTTTCGATTTTTCTAGCAATTCATCTCTTCGCTTGGTCCATTTAGAACAAACTATCGCCTGATGCCTGACGTTTTGGGACGGATATCCACATTAGCACCGTGGGCTTCCTACTCCAGTAAAATTTCTTCGGCGTAGGTAAGTATTAAGCCCAATATGCTCGTTTTTACTTGTACGACGACGCTACTCTGAGCCTTGTTAAGGTTTTGGTGGATCCAGACAGGCATTTTTCTGCAATTCATTATGATTCTTTGTGATTTTTGTCGTTGTACAAGTTTGCTGCTTTGCTGCTTTACTAACCTTACCATTATCATTCTATTCATTGATCGACTTTGCATGGATAGCGTTTAGTTTGGATGGTTGGCTTTGAAATCCTTACTACAAATATTTCGGCCAAAACATGCCAGAAGTACCAGTGACATTCACCGAATGACCGTGGTAGTAAAATAAATTGATGAAACATTATTGATGCGTCATATTCAGTATGACGGGAGGCAGTATCCTAGATCAATTTATTTATGCAATGTAGAAGCTTTCAGTGATCTGCGTCGTCCTCCACGAGTTGACTGGCTTTGTTTTAGAAAAGTTATATTATTGCTCGATATCGCTGAAATACATGTTTCTGTATATTGATTTATTTTGATGTCATTTTCATCAATGATCTGGGAGAGAATTTTAGAAGAGAGCTCGAGCTCGAAGTACACGGTTCAGCTTCCGAACATTCCCTATCGCGTCGTCACTTTTCTATTCACCGCTGTTTGCACGATCTTGCATTCCGTGATATTTATTGGCAAATTATGATGAGTCTGATGTCATAGATAAGCAGCCCTCTGATCCTTACCAGTAATAATTACTCGAATACTCGCTGCGTTTGATGGCCAGAGTCATGGAATTGGAACTCTATTTTTCCAGGTTGAAGAAAAATGACTGGTTAATATAGTTTTAGACTTCTACATGATAAGAATTAAGATGTCGTACGAAGAAAAGAATAAATATCCGATAACTGGGTACATAGCCCCGCTTGTAGATCGGATCCAATGATTTTATCCAACTTTTATTCCTTATCGTGGATGTCCAGTAGTGGGTGGCCCACTCATCCTCCTATAGTAAGTGGGGACACAGTATCCATTTATTTTCAGATATTTTGGATCACAGATGACCAATCGTTTGTGGCAGATGCTTGGCTGCCTAAATTTAGAGGATAATGACGGAGTGATGGCATAATACAACTGCAGTCCAGTGAGGGCTTGTAGAAAGTTATTGTGAGGCAATGGTGGTGAAAAGAGAACAAAAGCTCACATTCTTGAAGCAAAGAAGTCTCGTATAGGAGATAAAACTTTGATATTCCAATTAACAAAAAAGTTTATGGGGCCGGCCTAGAAGTGGGGTCTGGCTAGATGAGTTCTATGACAAACTTGTGAGCTTCCTGAGTTAGATCTTCCTTGAGTGAGCGTCTATCACGAAATAGTAGAGGAATGAAAACTCAAAACCTGCACGCGGTGTCCTCTTCGAACCTAGGAGTGAAATACTCTCCTTAGGCCAAGTTCAGTCAAATGTCGCTATACTAAAGAAGTTGGCCCACGAGGCAATGACTCAAATTACTCCACTACGTCATTTTTTCGGTCCCAACGAGTTCGACTCCTACCTAAGTCTCATCAGGTTTACAAGTACGACCAAGTACATCCTTATCCCAATGACCATACCTAACATCAACCTTCTCTGGCCTCAGCTCGTCACCAAATACATGCCCACACCGATATTTGTATCCATCGGAAGAAGCAAAGCGTGGCGCACAAATTTGAGAGAAGCTTCTTTGGCATGGACGTGAGAGGGATCAGGATAGGTTCATGGGATAATGCTAAGGAAAGATATAAGCTGGAAGGGCGTGAATCTGGAATTTTGGCAAGGAGTTATACGAATTGAGCTTTGTGTGCACCAAGGCTTCGCCTGCGAGAGTGAAGCTGATACTATAAACACAAGTCAACGGTGGAAGGTACCATGGCCTGACTCCTAGTGGTATTCTCTGGTATACTTTGAGTAGCCTGGGCACCTACTCCACTTGGAAAGGAGAGGCCTATACCACATTTGGTGCGGAGAAAAGATAATGGATGACGGACGTATATCTAGATAACCCAGGGTTTTTGAGACCTTTCTCTTGGTGGGTAATCACGAATGAGTGCTGACTTGGAGTGAAGAGACAGCTGCCATAACTTCGCAGTGGTACTTGAAAATGAAATCCGAGGCATGGGTGCTCTAGCTGTAATTGAGTCATCAATTGTGAACTTTTTCTCTGATATTTTGTCATGACTAGCTAGCTGCATACGCAATTAAAACCTGTTGCAAAAAAAGCCATCAATGAAAAGTGGCGTGTTAAATCATTCAGTCTGTTCTACCGATTAGACTCCGGGTAGCTTGAAAATCTAACCCACTTGTGATAGAAGATCTCTGGCTCGAATTCAGTAACAGCACACCACATTTCTCGCGATACTGTTATGCACGGGGGTAGAAGATATTCCTAAGTAATAAAAGGGTTTGAAATTGCCATACTGTGGATACTCACGGAATAGGGTTGATTGTTATGGGTAAACGAGCATACCTGGCAGAAGTATTTGCGACGGAAATCTAGAGAATGAGCATCTCAATTGTCAAAAGATTCGTCAAAGAAAAGAAAGAAGTGGTCATGTGTTATAGCTAGAGAGTCAAATGCACAAAAAGTATATGCTTAAAGAATCTCTGAATTTACTTCAAAACAAAATTTAAATAAATACTTTGAGCAGTTCCTAATTCCACCCCGTCAAATAATCCCTAGGAAGTAATATGCGTCGCAATCCTCTTTTAGATCTTGTATCCGGACAATGATCCATAAACGGAAAAGTGGTATTCTTGAACAAAAACTGAGAATACTCTATGCTATCAATGAGCAAAAAGATTCAAACGAAAATCATAAATCCATGGCTACCATATCTGATAGATACTGATAATTTGGGATTGAATAGTCAGATGAAAGGAAGTTATGGTGAATGGGGTTATCGTCAGAGGGGATATATTTATGTAAAGCTTTCTCCAAGCCTTTTTTCATTTTTTGGGCAATGGAAAGCATTTTGGCTTACTTCATATAGTTGTGAATCTTCTGATGCTCCAATATATCGAGGGGCCTAGGTGGATTGAGCTACTTGTCTGTGGTATTTGGTCTCGTGCTGAGCATCGGCATTGTCAGGGAATACATCTAGATTAATATCATCCCATACCAAATACTAGTCTTAGCGTATATCATATGTGTTGGTGGGCCAAGTAATGGGTTGGTTACCACCACATAGGTTGAGTTCAGGGTTTATCTGATGTGACGTTGAGCTATCGTATGAGTTGGGAGGAAGCTCCGGTTCACTTTTACCAAGAATATAACTAGTCGCTTTACTGCTTATGGGATTGGGCATACGTCGTTCTTGTATCATAATCACCTGTTGGAGACTACCTACTTATTCGAGCTACCTGTATATCATAACTCCTACCCGGTGATATTACCTATATGAGACGTCTCCCTTACAGTCATGGCGTTTAAATTGAAAAAACAGACGAGGTAGATAATTTTCATGCTTAGGTAATTTAGAATCAAAAACCTTCCACAAATAGATGATTCATATGAATAGCATCTGATTCTATTCCATTGCCTGAGATAGTATTTGAAGTAGCAAAATTTGAACTCAAAATTATTTAAAATGTAAAATTTGCAAGTTAACAGATGATCTAGGGTTTAAATCGCTTTAAGAAGCCTCAGTTAATGTTGATTGATGTCTCTAAATTTGAGCACTTGATGTGGAAGATGTTGAGTGAGTCGCATAACGACCACTCTAATGCTTTCGAAATTTTGGGCTAATAGTGAGACTGTAGGAATCTAGAGCAAATATGAAAAAAGAAGCAAGGTCACTTCTACAGTCGTGACTTTCGCTGAGATTTTTGCCATAGCAAGCTTTCATCCAAGAGGAAATCAGGATACTCACCTTGCAACATGGATGCACTAGGTGTTCTCCAGTCACCGCCATCAATTACAAGAACAGCACCATTAACAAAATTACCTGCCTCGCTGAACAGATAGATAGTGCCATCAGCTATCTCTTTGACAGAGCCATAGCGCTGTAGAGGTACCTTCTTGAAAGCTTCACCACTTGCCTCACTATCCCTATTACCCAGACGTTTCATGCCTTCCGTACCTGCTATCGGGCCCGGTGCAATCACATTACTCGTGAGACCGCGTGGCCCTAGCTCTAGGGCCACTGAGGCCGATAAAGCATCAATACCCGCCTTAGCTACAGCTACGTGAGCTTGGAGAGGCATTCCAGTGTAATGAAAGGTAGCCGACACGAAGATTATACGGCCTCCTGTTCCTTGGCTACTGCTCGTGTTTGGGTTGCGAGTGGCAGACGCTAGTAAGTGCGGTAGTGTCGCTTTAAGAGTATTGTAGGAGCCAAGAGTATCTATTTCGATGACCGTCCTGAAGGCGTTGACAGAGAGACCTTTGATTGGTGCGAGGAAATTGCCAGCAGCACCAGCACTAGGAGGTCAGATGAGTATCAGCAGTGCGCTATGTACGGCTGGATGAATAGACAGGAGTCAGATTAGGGCAAAGGGAGACATTACATGACAAAATCAATGGCGCCCAAATCCTTAACACATCTAGCTACCGCAAGCTCCTGCTCTGCAAAGTTACGAACGTCGACACCACCAATGCCGAGGACTCGGGCACCAGGACGTGCTGTAGCAATTTCAGCGGCCATAGACTCTGTCTTCGCAACATTGCGGCCAACTATGCAGGCATTAGCACCGAGGTACACCATTGCACGCACTTGAACGCTGCAGATAGTTCCAGCCCCGCCTGTACAGAAGACAACTTTGTTATCTGGAAATATAATCAACTTGCGGGATTCCTTATATTATGATTAACTTAGTTACCGAAAATTCCATCTCGCCAAACATTAGATAGGTAACTTGATCGTTGAGATTTCATTTGGAATACCTGAGTAAGAGGAAAGGAACCCGGATAAAATGAATGATGATTTGTGCAATTCTATATCAGACAATTGACGTCCATGAGTACCTAGGAGGGTCGATAAGGCTAATAATTTCCATTGATGTCATATCACATGTGATAGCCATGCGATGCTTGCGTCAAGTCGGCTAAATATTCTTCCGCCCCGTAAACAGGGGGTTTCTACCTCTAAAGCTTGGATCCAAATTGTTGAGCTCCGCATATACGACAGCACATTACTTTTGTTTTATATTCAATTTCCTCTTGACTCTAGGACTATACATGGACATGTAGGTCTCTATTTATAGGCTAGGAATATCTATGCCTCGGATTGCGTCCCCCTACTTTGCATCCTTCACGACATCTTTCCAGCGATATTACCCCCACAGCTCTTCACTTAAGTACAAAATAAAAGGGAGGAGGGCAAGACTGAATACCTGTACGCGGTGCCTTTTACGAACTCGGGAGTGAAATATTCTCCCAGAGCCAAGTTCAGTCAAATTTGCAATACCAAAGAAGTTGGCTCACGAGGCAATGATGTAAGACTCTCTACGAAATCAAACTCTCCCACCCAACGAGATCAATCCCCATAAACACCTCATCAAGTTTACAAGTACGACCAATGACATCCTTATTCCAATGACCACACCTCTCGACTTTTTCTGGCCCCAGTTGACCACCAAATACACGCCCACGCCGATATTTATACCCGACGGAGGATACAAAGCGTGACGCGCAAATCTGAGACACTGTTCTTTGGGATGGACGTGAGAGGTATCAGGATAAGCTAACAAAATGATACGGAGAATGGATACAATTTCGACGGGCGTGTGATTTTGAAATTTGGCCAGGAGTTATACGAATTGAGCTTTGTGTGCACCAAGGCTTCGCTTGCGAGAGTGCAGCTGACACTATAAACACAAGCCAACAATGGAAGCAGTCGTGGTCTGACTCCTGGTGGTGTTCTCCGGTATGGTTTGAGTAGCCTTGGCACCTACTCCACTTGGGAAGGAGACGCCTCAGACCAAATTTCGCGCGGAGACAAATCAGTGGATGATGGAGGCATGCCTGGTTAACTCAAGGTTTTTGAGACGTTCCTCTGGGTTGGTATTCACGGATGAGGGTTGACATGGGGTGAAGAAAAAGCTGCCATAACTTTGCGTTATCGCGGTGGTACTTCCAAATGAAATCCGAGGCATGAGTGCTCTTGTAAATTGAGTCATCTATTATACACTTCTCTGATATTGTGTCATAGCTAGATAGCTGCTTACGCAATTAAAATCTGATGAAAGAAAAAACCTTCGCAGTAGTACTTGCAAATGAAATCCGAGGCATGAGTGCTGTTCTTGTATATTGATTCATCTTTTCTGTGCTTATTCACGGGCAATATACTAATGATCTTTCAAGTAACAAAAGAGAATAAGTGTGGTGCACGTGCCACATTTCTCACGCTGAAGACATATAACTGTTGCTAGATAGCTTTACCACAGTGCCAACTGGCCTAAAAAAGCAAATAAGAAGAAATATGGAACAAGCAGATATGTTACTATATTTGGTAGGCTTGTATGCCCACACCGAGCGTCATAGTGTGAGCTCTGTTCAAGATTTGGTCTAGGCCAGAGAGGAGTCTATCTGCTAGACAGTCTAAGACCCGAGGAAGACAGTAAATACAACTCTCTATCTCTGCACCATTTTCTGATATTGTGTCGTGGCTAGCTAGCTAGCTGCGTACGCAATTTAAATCTGATGCAAAAAAAACAAAGATCTTGCCGTGTGATGGTTTTCTACTTGTTCTAATAAGAGCTTCATCAAAAACTGTAAGAGCTACGACGTTAAATAATAATAAAAAAAAAACTGTAAGAGCTTATCTAGGGCTACGTCACCTTCCAGTGGTGCCGGTATAATCGCTCAGTATGCTTTGCATATCTAGGATAGCCAAGAAGAATCGCATCCAAATCGAAGTCGGAAGCACTCGCAAGCACATCCAAAATCGACGACTCATCGTCAATGTCGGATCTATCATTCTCACGCGAGTCCTTTATCTCAATCTTACTACGCCACCTCGCCTCAAATACCGATTATTGTGTTACTCCAATTGCAATCGGGCATTTGCCTCATCAAAAACCGGCCATCTCCCACTATACACTTACGATGCTATGTATACCCGCGAGGAGGAAATTAATTCATAATCTACAAAGCTCAGATCTTGGTCTATGGGGGATCGTTACTCTAGTGGGGCTTCACGTCTTGAGGGATGACAGGCAGCTGGGACGTAGGACGAACGACTGAAGATGTCACAAATGGGCATGCTGGGACGCACATTTTTCGAGTATTTTCGACTAAAGGGTGTCTGTGGGTGCCGAGGCAACGATGGCAGGTGTTTTGGTCCGCCTACTAGTCGTCATCTCCCCGAATTAAAGTTCGGGTAGCCTGGACACCTACTTCACTCGCGAAAGGGAGGACTGTGAGGCCATATCTCGCGCGGCGGCTATATACAAGATGGCAAAGGCATGTTAGGGTAGCCAAAGGTTTCTTTTATTTTCCCTTTGGTGGATATTAACGGTTCAAGGAAGGGTAAGAGTCCCTAGCACAAAGGTCTCGAGTGGTATCAGCAAATGCAACCATTACCTGAGTAGTCCAAATGTCAAACTGAGTTATCGTCGTATATAGTCGCTGGAGAAGCTAGTCTTCTCCGTGTCATGCTCTTTAAGTGCAGGGCTTGTGCCCGTCACGAATAAATTTTCATCATCATCATCTAGGGCGACGCACACTAGGATGTTTGCTAGCTGCACAATCTGGAGATGGCGAATTCACAGACTATCACCTGTTACGGGGCGAGAGAGTATACAAGATAGAAGTCACGGGACAAGATATAAACGAGATACGTAAGATAGGATGTGGACAAGAGAAGGAGCTCTAATAAAACATCGCACGCCCTCCCTAGGAATGGACGTGGATTACTTTAAAAGTCTCTTCGGACTAGCCCGACGCTAGTGTCGATAATAACACCAGCCCTCTCCATTCCTGTATTATTATGTTATTATGACAACTAGACCCCTCACCGCTGCGGAGGACGAAGGCTGAACACCTGTCAGTGATGTCCTCTACGAACCTGGAAGTGAAATATTTTCCCAGAGCCGAGATTCAGTCACGACACAGGGAGGATTTGAAAGCTTTCGTCGAGTTGGCGATCGGGAGGAGTGCTGTTGGCTCATTGTTGGTCGAAAATCCGACTTCCAGAGATTTTACGACTGCACAACACAACGAAATCAACCATCTACACCCCAGATACAAACCGCAGACAGCCTATAACCTGTCTGATGTTCGTATTAAAAAAACCGACACCTTCAAGATCTTATTTTTCTTTTATTCTGGAAACTCATTCTCAGGCCAAACTCATCTCGCGGCCCTCTCCACAATCATCTCATCAACTACCAAAGCAATCCCATACCTCCAAAAGCCAAATAACCAACTAAAAAGCAAGAGGATGTCCGACCCTATGCAACTGCCAGTCGCTGTGAAGGTACGGTCGAAATACCGTCCTTAGATGCGTCCTCACCTCGGCAAAGGGCACCAACAACTCGACCTGCGACGAATTGCCGCCTAAGAAATACGGTCGAAATTTCGCCGGCACACCAACTAGAGCATTCGACAAAGGCTGGGGCACCGGTGCCTCGATCTAGAGCTCTCAGTCACATTTTCAACCTCCACGGTTAGGGGTACGGCAGTGACGGTGCAAGGCCGGAGGGGTGAACATTATACAAAGTTTCTGGGATGACTATGTCGGCTAAAGGACAGAGGGATGCTGTATGGAGGAACCAAAAGGGAATACAAAACGAGGAAGCCTTGGTGGGCGACTGGATGAGGCCTTCAATGAAGAAAACGACCCCTGGATGAGATGAGGAGATGCTGAATTGAGCCAAAGCTGGGAATGAATCGAAGCGAAAAGTTACAGATGGCGAAGGTGTCTAGGGCTCGGGCGCGTGGTGGCCGAGGCTGAGGAGGAATTTGCGCTTCGGCGCGCCAAAAGGAGGTTCTATGGACGGTTGGGCTTGACATGATTCAACACATGGGTGAAGTCTGAGGTGGTCCGGTCATTCAGGTGGGACGAGGTAGATGTACTTAATGGTAGTTAACCTGATCCAGCCCGGCCCCACCCGTGCTTAAGCTCCAGGAGGAGTGCAGCGGTAATCACTTTACCTAGCACGTTAATGAACAAAACAAAACTCCTCACCACAGCTTAGGCATACTTTCACCGTGTCATGGAGAGTCATGATAAGAACCATGACATCACCGATATTTTCAGCACGGAAACGCCATTCTAGCCTGCTCATTCGGAGAAGAGGAGTCCCCCAATTACTTTTTCTACTGCTACCTCGCGCTACACAAGGCTAAGCTCCACAGGGCATAGAATTCTAGTCCCAGCGTATCTTGAGCTTTTTCTTCAGTGAAGTGAGTTAACGCATTCAATAGCTGGTTGCGTATCACAAATTTCTTCGAAAGGGCACAACGACAAGTCTGATTCGAACGGAATCACTAATTGACGAGCCAATTTCTTTTTTTTCTTTTTTATTGTAAATTATTTTCTTCATTTAGTACCAACTGCATATTACGAGATTCGTTGCACGGACTACATTATTGTATACAATAATCTTCGAGCGCAGGATGATAAGGTCCTGGCTTTCATTTGCTTCGTTGGGTCTGTGTAGACGCCAACACGTCGAGTAGTTCAATTTAGACTGGGCTAAACGGTACGAGAAAAACTCGCGTACTGTGCGCGGGCACGTCGTTAAATATTATAAATAAATAAACCTCACACGGGAAAGAAGGCATTCTGCGAACTAATGTTGGATGGAAGGACTTACAATCTCTTCTTTTGTTGCGTTATCTTAATTCATTGTACATCCTGTGAGCGTATTGTCAGATTATTTTTAAATCAGATGTAAAGTTCCTGGTAAAGGGAAATTTGCTACGTTTAAATTGGAAAGCAGAGTGGTGGACAAATGTTCTGTTCTGTTCTGTTCATTTATGTGCCAAGTACATGTCACCCATAGCACTCCTACTGGAGCTGAAGCGCGAGTTAGGCCGGATCAGTTTAACTACCGTGGAGTACAGATAAACCTCGTCCCATTATAATGACAGGACCACCTCAGACTTCACTCATGTGTTAAATCATACCAAGCCTGACCGCCCAGAGACCCGCTGTATGCACGCCGTAGCGTAAATTCTTCCTCAGCCTTGGCCAGCACGCGACCGCACATCTAACACCCCCATTGACTTCGAAATATAAATGTAGTCCCAGATCTCATCGTTGCTGTTAAGATTTGACCGTTATTTAAGCTTGGGCGAGTAGCTAAGTGTGATGACGAGAAATTTTATAAGGCTGCATGCGGAGGGATAGATGAACATGAACAAGACGGCGCTACTAGTCAGGAGGTGGAAGCGTTACTACAACTAAGTAACACCTAGCAATACGTGACTGTGTAGCAAGTATTATGCCTAAGGATAAGCCATCAGTCTGGAGAATGACGAAGGGGACGAACTCTTATGAATATCTGTTAGTAGTAGCTAGAAATCTCTTTTCTCCTCATATAGTTTGATAAATCGATTTATTCATCACCAATTCGTCTCAATCATAGTTGCTATAACCTCGCACCTTCATATCGTACCGTTGGGTTGTTGTCGTTATTGGGGATCTGTCTAATCCCCTCGGTGTATCTTCCATTTTCTTCCTCCCTTGTACACGTCTCGTTTCCATCATGACTTTCCTCATTAGGGCGCATGTACGTAGGTGAAGTGACAAATATGGAGATAGGTCGTAGATGTGGGATCGATTGAGATGTGCATCGTCGCAAAGATATGAGTTTTAAAGGTGTTATTTGTTTGAATACGACTCCCAGATAGACCTAAGCTCATCCTTGAATTGTATGTTGGTTGTGATGAGATTTTATTCCACTTTCTTACGATCGTGAAATCTCTGCCGGCTGCTTTTTCGACCAAAGTACCGAGCATAACTCCTTCAAACTGAAAATCCATCTAAAAAAGTTCATCCCACCCTTTTTCGTGACTGAATCTCGGCTCTCGATGAATTTTTGGCTCCTACGTTCGTAGAAGACACCACAAAAAGGTATTCAGCCTTGATCCTCCTGACGGGCAGCTGTTTTTTTATATCAGTTGGTCCTAAGCTAATGCTCCATGACAACTATAGGTGCAGGACCGGTGGAGCCGGCAAGGTTTCCTGTACTTTTTCCTCCATCACAACTCGTGCCAACCTCGTGTATCGCTGCCAAAAGTGCAGCTGACTAAACTGAAACGAGAACCCTCATAACAAAATCAAAACAACTACGAATGACAGAAGATTCGTTAATGTTCAAGCCAAGCAATGCGCTCCGGACACATTCCAAACGACTAATTTACTCCATCTCCGCTCAGAGCAAGAGATGGATTAGCAGGCACTATTGATCCAGCCGGTATCCTGCTGTTGGTTAGTAACTGCCCCAATAGAGACATCGTCGAGGTCGCTGTATCCTCAAGCTTTTTCTTCAGATTCTAGCACTCCGAAACCTGCTCCCTCGGCCATCGAAACATCTTTCGCTGAGATGATGATCGCCTCTTCAGTCCTTCTGGCTTCAGCCCGAGCTCGTGCCGCCTCCGCGAACCTCGCTTGCTCGATGTGGCGAATCCATGAGAGTTGCTCTTTGGTCGCCGGTCCAGATTTTCTGGGTCTGGCTTCAGCCAAGGCCTTGATACTATCTTTGTTCGTTTATGTGTTTATCGCATAATCCAAACTACAGGCCAACCGTAGCAAACGCACTTAGACCGACCAGATGAAGGAATTCCCAACTGAAAAAGTCTCGAATATTCAGACGAGCTACGTAAGCATCTCTAAAAACGTTCACCAACACATGGGAAATATTAGCAACTTCTCCTGAAAATCGCCAACACAGCGAATTTTCGCCAATTAAAATATCCTTGCTGGTCAAATGATTACGTCTCGCGCCAAAGTGTCGTTAAGATGGCGATTCAGACAAATTATCGTCCATTTATTCATTTAGATAAGAAACCGTACTATTAATTTTAACATGAAAAAATGACAACATCACAATGATGTGGCCTCGACAACGTCCAGATTAGTTTTTTCGTACAAGTGAACAACTGTTACACCTCGTTGTTCTCCGTGGATATTTTAAAGACCAGTTCACATAAAGTATGGAATAAGTGATATGTACGTGCATTAAAGTGGGAATTTTGTATGAAACAATGATGATAACAGTGAACACACTGGAATACAGAATGGTTAAGTTCTTAGAAAACTCTCAAGGTCAAAATTTGGGTTTCATTTCAGCTGGGTAGATTTTTAACTGTGTCCGCGCGTATCAGCACCAAGACGAAAAATGAGATGATGATCTACTCTGATACATCTAAACCGAGGTTTCTAGAACTAAGCTGGCAACTCCTCGGCTAGTTCATTACACATCTCAATGGAACTGAAAACGAAAACCCCATTCATTTGCACATGAAACTACAGGAGATCACATGTTCTGATGTGAGAGTGGAGCCAGAGAAAAAAGATACACGAGGCAAGGAATCTCACTTCATCACCCATCGACAAGATCTTGAAGTGTCAAGTGGATCTCTAAGATCTTTTTATGGGCCCGAAGAGAATCATTGGGCAAATGCAGATGATAAAAATGCGATCAACTCTTACGACAAATGGGACTACGAAGCTTGTCATAATCAAATCGACATGAGTTAAGGCCAACGTTAGACTTGAGATTACCCCATTTTCCACTCCTGACGAGGATTCAAGTTCAAAATGAATCCCTTTACCCTAGCTCAATTAACAAGCATTTCTTACTCAGCTCTCAATTGTCTAGCTGTGCCCTTAGATCAAGTTCGATGGAATTTAGATCGTGTCAAATACACGGCTTGGAAGCCGATTCAGAGCACAAATTTTCATGAGCCGAGTAGAGGAGTACGGAATCTATGCATAAAAAAACATGCACGGAAAAATCTTCCTACTAAAACTATGTAGAACTCCATGAATCTTAGCCTTGCCATCGGTAATAAAGATACTGATCGGTAATTATACCCGCAATCCTAAAATTTCGGTCAAAATCTACAGTAAGGATAAAACTAATAGATAAATTATCACCTCTATATTCCATGTGCTTGGCGATATGAACGATTTTTGCCATAGTATCGCTTTATCTAGTCCTTTCATATTTACAGCTGTTCTAGAACGAAATTTCAACTGCGTACGATTCATAAGAACAAGTAGCACGTAGATATCATCCATATGACAAAATTTACAGATAGTGGCTCTTAAGCCATCATTGCATCAAACTAAATCGTCCCCGAAACAGTCACCCCGACATCGGCTCAGTTGCACCACTTGTGCCGTTCAGCAAGTTGACCACGCACAGAAGGATCTTCTGATATTATGATGTCAGATTAATGGAGCCTTTTACAACAAAGGCCATTCGCACTTTCCTCAACAGGAATCTCACATGATTGTTGTACTTGTAGGCGTGACGAGACGAAAGATCATCTCAATGGTTGCAAGAACCAAGACTTCTATTGCTGCAGTCAGAAGATGGACTATTGATGAAAACATTCCAAAGTCAGGGCCTGACTAGATTGTTCATCTATTCTGCTTCTTATTTTCAGCTGCATGAGTATTGTGAAGAGATATATGAAACTGAGATATCTGAGCTAATTATGACAAAGTGAGCGCTAATCGTATTCAACATCAAGCAACCCGCATTATATTTGCAAGCACAGTCCTTTAATCCACTTTCTCAATTTGGTGAACAACAGATGAAGCAACAGCAATGCTCGGCTAAGTCTACCTATCAATAGTATGAAGACCCACCACTTAATCGCACAGATGGTATATTGATCTAGACGCGAGGCAAGAGCTATGATGGCGCTTTGTCATAAACACGAGAAAATTGATTCTTCCTAATGTCATGGGTTGATCGTCCTTTGTGTTTTTGGAAACGCTTATTTAGGCTACATGGTTTGTTGAGTCAAACTGATCGAGGCTAAGGACTCTTTTACTCTATAAAAAGAGGAATTTCGTCCTCAAAACTAATTTTAATCATTCCATTTTTCCATCGTTCCATTATTCCATTATTCCATCCAACTCAACGTGCCTTATTATTATAAATCACAAATAGAGGCATATTAACGGTATAAATATATTTACTCGACACATTTGTCATTCGGTTTGAAAAGCCTCGCATTTTTTTGGACAGTTTAGTTTAAGGGCTTAGTCTGCCATAAACTTATTTCTGTATTAATTATTTCCCATAAGCTACAAATGGGTTGGTGAAAATATCTCTTGACATTGGCAACTTGGTTAACCTTCGGTTAGATTCTTCTCTGATCAATAATACTATCAATAGTATCACCGAGAACTTGATTTGCGATCAGGGATGTACTGGAACAGCTCGTGAAAAAGAACTCACTACTCGCCAAGCCTTGCGACTTTATAGGCCTGCCTTATTTTGGTCAATCGTTGTTTCCATGTGCATTGTAATGGAAGGCTATGATGCCATCCTGATCCACAACTTCTTCGCTTACCCGGCCTTTGCTCAGAAATTTGGCCACTTCGACGACACCACGGCTACATTTCAGTTATCAGCGGCCTGGCAAGTAGCATTGAGCAATGCTGTGGGAGTAGGATCATTTTTGGGCACCATTGCAAATGGATATCTTGTACCTTGGTATGGACCGAGGAAGATATTTTTGGGCGCATTACTGGTATTAGTTTCTTTCATTGCGATCACATTTGCAGCCCCAAATGTCTGGGTGCTGTGTGTCGGCGAGTTTTTGTGCGGAATACCGTGGGGTATGTTTGCAACTATGGCGCCGGCATATGCATCCGAAGTACTGCCACTATGTCTAAGGGTTTATCTGACAACCTTTACGAATATGTGCTTTATTCTAGGCCAATTGGTTGCAGCTGGCGTCTTGCAAGGACTACTCAGGATCGATGGACCTTGGTCATATCGCACAGCCTTTGCCTTGCAGTGGGTATGGCCTATCATTCTACTTCCGGTACTCTTTTTTATGCCTGAATCGCCGTGGCATTTGGTACGGACGGGCCATCTCGAGGCAGCAGAAAAATCCCTTGCACGACTACAATCGAAGCATGCAACTTCTGACGTGAAAGAAACCCTTGCAATGATTGTTTCAACCAATGATGCAGAGGAAAGAGTATCTAGGGGCACTTCATATTATGATTGCTTCCGTGGTATTGAACTCCGGCGCACAGAAATAGCGTGCATGACTTTTGTCGGGCAGGTGCTTTCGGGAATCTCGTTTGCATACAACTCGACCTATTTCTTTCAGCAAATCGGACTCCAGACGTCCAATGCTTATAAACTGAATGTAGGAGGAATAGGGATTGCATTACTTGGGACCGTCATCTCCTGGTTTTGCATTATGCCATATGTTGGACGGCGCCGAGTGTACCTTTGTGGCATGGTCACCTTATCGATGATTCTACTTCTAATTGGCCTCCTCAGTATAAAAAGTTCAAGTGACACGATAGTTATCGGACAAATAGCCCTAGTTTTCCTGTGGACATTTACTTTTCAGTTATCTGTTGGTCAGCTTGGCTGGGCTATTCCGGCGGAAATTGGCTCTACGAGGCTACGGCAAAAGACCATTTGCCTAGCGCGTACCTCTTACTACCTCATCGACATACTCGCCAAGACTATTGAGCCATACTTGATAAATCCAACAAAGTGGAATCTCAAGGGCTTTACGGGGCTTTTTTGGTTTGGAACCGCACTTATCGCTGCGACGTGGACCTTCTTTCGGCTACCAGAAACCAAAGGTCGCAGCTTTGAGGAGCTCGATAATCTATTCGAGCGAAAGGTTCCGACGAGAAAATTCGCCTCTTATAAAATTGAGAGGTCGACAAGTAGTGGTGAGCCTGAACCGGGAGTTCTATAACTATTGTTTCAACCAAGTAGAGCTGTTGGATGGAAATAGTAGTAATCAACAATGAGACGGTGGGAGATTGGAGATGACAAGGAAGATTATGTTGTGAAACACAGTATTTTTTTTCCATGAAGGTTTGATTTGGTATTTGGGGCGATAAGATATATGCTGATCAAAATAATAGTGATGAAGGAAAATTTTAGCTCGAGACATTTCGAATTGGATACGATTTCAACGCTCCTATATAGGCTTAGAAACAGACTGCGATTTTGAATATAGCGCCAGCTTTACTCGATCTTATCGAGGCCATGACTAGACTGCGATTTGATCTTTATATAGCCTAGGTTGATCTGACGGACTTTGCCCGGACTAGAACTGATGGCTAGGACCACTCCGTCTTCGAGGCTAAGCTGTAGTAGAGCAGCGCTCCTGAAAATGCGAATGGGGCGCATAAGGAGGTATCAAGTCGGGTATGTAATTGATGGAGAGTAGGATAGAAAAGAAGAGGTGAGCCGGGGAGAAAGGATGATTCTCAAGTGGAAAAGGAAGGGAGTTAAGACTAGTCTACACAGAGCATTTAAGGGATGTCAGAGTACGTGATAGATTGTCTTCCCAAGGAAGAAGTTATTAATTCCTATCAAGTCACTGTCTTTCAAGCACATCTGAATTCATTAAACACTTAAAGTTGAGCTGCGTTAGTTTATTTGGTTGTCCTTCAAGATGGAGCAACTACTAAATATTTGGCCTAGCGTCTCAGAGTCCCATTCTACCATTCTAGTTTTATGCTAGTTATTCTAATTCTTTTGTTGTCTCGTCTCTGTTATCTCTTGTCTCAAGCTTCTGACGTGTCGTCAGATCAATAATCTCGAAGTTTCTTTCCATATTACTCCACATCATAATATTTGCATAAGATATCTTCAGCAGATGGCGACCTTCACTTATACTTTTGCATACAACTAAATTGAAGACTTCAAAGTACGATAAACTTACTGCATAGCGGGGAAATTTAGATCGCAAAGGAAAGATGTCAGTCATAGGGTAAAATAGAAATTGGAACTCAGATTCAAGCGGAATATCAAGTAGACTTTATTGAAGGTTAGATTAAGTGTGTGAGAATCTTGATCTGTTTATGGGACTGGAAAGATCAATTTGATTAAATTAAATAACAGTTGGTCAAACATAATTATTCTTGTACCTGAACATAATCGAGTTATGGTTGTGATAATTGTTTACTTATGAAAAAATGGGTAAGGCGTTTGGAGATCTTATATACCCTGTATTATTAGTTCTATTAAGGAAATAATGACCCCTCAGTCATTGAGGTTGTAGAGCACATTGAGGTTGTAGAGCACATTGATTCAAGTAACTACCGAAGTGAAATTAAGTACAGAGTTTGTAGTCACGGGTGTACCAACAAAGTGGCCTACTTGATAGCAACAATTATTCTAAATTCTAACAAGCACCATACTAGCGTGTAGCGAGAGCTAGGTTGTGGCATTAGGAGAGAGTGCTGAGAAGCAGTCGCGATATACGCTCCGCATTTTGTAAACCCAATACTTCATCAATCTACTTCCAGTAGTCCTATATCAGTTGCCTAAGAGAATCATATTCTAGTAAACTCTACTAATTTGATTAATGTAGCACAAGTTATGTAAGATTAAATTTAGACTCAAGTGATTTTGTCTGTTGAAGAATGTTATCAAAATAAAATGGTGGTTAGATGTTGCTGGATCGTTTGGAGCACGATATTAACAGTGCCGAGGAAATCAGTGTTTGAGGATGTTGGAAATTTAGACCACATTTGTCTGAAACTTCTCTAGGATTGGAACAAATATTCTTACATGTGATACTACCTGACTTACGACCAAGATTACTGACATTATCTATTTTGAGAATTTCCGGTGTGAGGCTCAAGAGAATCGTCGAATGCCGTGATTCTCGCTAGGTAGAGTTTGATCCAACAACTCTGTTGGCGTGCTCACGTTGTATACTGTCGAGCAACCCATTTTCATTATCGTAAGGGACTAGGTCTGATGGATTGTACTTGATTTATTTTTGGTCTGCAAAGGAAACATGTACATAAGCTGTCTAAGAATCACCAAGATAGAATAACACAATTCAATCCGTTCCTCTATCAAGTCCATTTATTTCTATAGTTTATCATATATAATTCCGAATGATATCGACAACATACTATTCATAAATCGTATATGCTCCTAGAGAATCCCTAATTATTGAGTTAATACCGATTGACAACAAAAGATAGAGCCAGTTGAATGATATAAGATGACGAAGTATAACACATGAACTTACCGATGGGAGTGCAGAGGCTCAAGGCCTTCAAGTGGCGTCCGCTACACAGCTGTGGCTAGTAAAGAAGAATTTTTAACCTTCCAGTGGTGCCAATGTAGTCGCTCAGTATTCTCTGCATTTTTGGGATAGCCAAGAATCGCGTGTGCATCGAAGTCGAAAACAACAAGAAGCACATCTTCAAATGATGACTTCTTGTGAAATAAGGCGAGTCAGTGATGAATAAATCGATATATTAAACTGTATAGGGAGAAAAGAGAAATCTAGCCACTACTAACTAGTATTTGTAAGAGCTGATCCTCCTCGTGAATCTATAGACTAGTGACTTGGAGGGCAAATACTGAACACCTGTACGAGGCGTCCTCTACGAACCTGAGAGAGAATATTCTCTCAGAGCCAAGTTAGTCAAATTTTGCAGTACTAAAGAAGTTGGCCCACGAGGCAATAATCCAAGAATCTCTATGAAATCAAACCCTCCCACCGAGCGAGATCAATCCCCATCAACACCTCATCAAGTTTACAAGTACGACCTAGTACATTCTCGTTAAATGACCACACCTGTCATCAGCTATTCTCTGGCCTAAGCTGGCCACCAAATACACGCCCTCGCCAGTATTTATACCTGACGGGGTAAACAAAGCATGGCGCAAAAATCTGGGAGACAGTTCTTTGGGATGAAGATGAGAAGTATCAAGATAAGTTAACAAGAAGACACAGAGGACGGACATAATGTCGAGGGGCGTGTGATTTTAAATTTTGGCAAGGAGTTTCATGAATGCAGGTTTGTGGGTGCCAAGTCTTCGCTTTTTTTTTAATTCTTTTTATTGTTCTTTCTGAATCTATGACTGTGTAGGACATTCAGGTTGTCTCTGCCTACAGGCCAAAGATACCTATACCAGTAGTACATCCCCTTCTATGCCTCTCATACAGCTCCCCTCTCCAGCCAACGAAACGATGGCCATTTGCGGGTGTATGGCAGCCGGGAAAAATCGCAAAAACCACTGGGTGCGGAGCTCTCCTAGTACCGACTTTACGACTAAATCCGAAGAAATAGTGCACCTTCTGATGCGTTCGAAGAGGCCGGCCAGCTGGGCGCTGCAGACTTGTGAGTACCTCAGAGAATTTACACTCTGCCTTTCTAGCCTCCTTCCAACTCCTTCCCGAAGGTCGTGCTGAAATGTCAGAAAAGTCTTGACAGAGCGTGATTGCTGTACGGTAGCTTAGCCCAACTTCTTTTGTGCCGTCCAGGGCGCTGAGGAGTGCCGTTGACTCATCGACGAAAGAAGTCCTCCTAGATAATTAACTGAAATCTCGGTCTTGGCGCCCACAAAAAATTCAAAGTTGAAAACTCCTCGAAAATGTCAGTCCTAACACGATCTTCAGAGACCTCTTTCCCCTCTCGCTCCACATCTCAGCAGCCTGTTCTTCCTCTAGATGTATAACCCCATTAAAGCAGCAGTCCCCCATAAACCAAAACCTAAGCTTTGTGCATTATGACTTAATTTCCTCCTTGCGGTTATACGTAGCGTCGTAAATTTGTAGTGAGTGATGGCCGGTGATGAATGAGGCAAGCTCCTGTTTGTAATTGGGGTGACGCCTTTATCGGTCGGCGAGGCGAGATGATATGTGGTTAGATCGGGGTTGAGGACTCAGAAGATAATGGTGAGTTCTACATGATTGAGAAGTCGTCAAATGGAGATATGCATGTGTTTGCTTTCGACTTCGATTCGGAGTGAGGGTTGATTTGGGTTGAGAAAAAGCCGCCATAACTTCGCAGTGGTACTTGCAAATGAAATCCGAGGCATGAGTGCTCTTCCTTTATATTGATTCATCTATTATGTACTTTTCTTTAGTATTGTGTCATAACTAGATAGCTACTTGTGCAAGTGAAATCTGATGCAAAAAGTAAAACTAGTGACTTATCCTTAGGCATAATTTATCCTTTCCAGATACGTGTGTACAGGTTTCTCTCGGCTGCACTAACGCTTCAGCCTCCTGACTAGTGGTGCCGTTTCGTTCAGCTTCATCTTCTCCCCATACAGTCTTATCGCAAGAAATCTCAATATTAAGCCTAGGTATGCGCCTAAGCTCAAACAACGGCCAAACCGTAACACTTCCCATCAATATGGATCTTTTCATTCCCGCGTCATTCCTCTTACTCAATCTTTCCATACCATACTTTAGTTCAACAATCGATCAAATAGTTACGCGAACCGCAAACAAGAGCTTTCCCCACTAACCATCGGCCAACACCAACTCTCAAATTTAGGAGGATGCGTATATTCGCGAGGAAGAAATTAAGTTATAATTTACAAATCTCGGGTCTTGATCTATGAAAGGGGCCGTTGTTGAACTATGGCTATACAACATGAGGGAATAGAATAGAATAGAATAGAATTCAATTTAAGTCCCTACTGAGTCTATGACTATGAAGGACTGCTAAAGAAAACAAAATAACTTTAAAATTTAATAGTCTTTTTGAAAATTGATTTCCTTAATATGTACCAATAGATACTGAGGGTCTTGCCCTAAACATGAGGGAATACAGGCAGCTGGGACGGATTTTGAGAGAGGAGTTAGTCTATCGATGGGAATGATGGAGCGTTTTCGACTGGCATTTTTTTGGGCGACGAGGCTACGATTTCGAACGGTGCTACTGACACTTTAAAACCGGGCAACGATGGGAGGTTGGATAGTACGCCCCTATTCATCCTCTCCCCAAGAGACTGGGTAGCCTGGACTCCTACCTCACTCGAGAGAATGGACACTGTGAGGCCATATGTCGTGCATTGGTTACGTACAAGAGTGCAAAGGCTTTTTTTTCAAATCATTTAATGTGTATTCAGCTATCTAGCTGTGACACATGACCGGTGCTATGTATAAATGTGGGATGACTCTTTTGACGTTGGAGACACTCATACTCTGTATTTCATTCGCAAATACCACTATGACGTATGTTCGCTTACACCAGCAGTTGACACTCCTCCGTAAGTACCCACCAAAGGGAATTTCGAAACCTTTGATTATCCAAGCATGCCTTCGTCACGCATGCATACCAGCGCGGCGAGAAATGTGGTTGTGTTTTGCCGGATTTGAACCAGCGATCTACTGTCTCGAGTGGGATATGTGTCCAAGCTATCCAAACTCTACTTGGCAGACCGGCTATGGCAAAGGCATGTTAGGGTAGCCAAAGGTTTCTTTTATTTTCCCTTTGGTGGATATTAACGGTTCAAGGAAGGGTAAGAGTCCCTAGCACAAAGGTCTCGAGTGGTATCAGCAAATGCACCCATTACCTGAGTAGTCCAAATGTCAAACTGAGCTTTCTTCGTAAATAGTCGTTTTAGATGGACCAGCTTCCTCTGTGTCATGCTCTATGAGTGCTAGGCTTATGTCCATCACGAATAAATGTCTATCGATGTCCTTCATTCAGACAATCCATTAAATATAATTTGCCCCACCCTTGTTCGTGACAGAATCTCAGTTCTTAGTGATTATTTAAGCCCCAGGCTCGTAGTGAACGCCGCTCATGAGTGTCCCACTTTCACCTTCAACACAAGAATTTTGGAAAAGACTGTGGTGACTTTTGCGTAACTTCAATTTATTTAACCAAGATGCGCTCGCTTCGTACGTGAACGAAGGAGATACCTCAGTTTCTGCAAATATTTTATTTTACACCCCCCCTGGAGCCGCCCAACAACTTAACCGAAATCGGTTTATCATCTGTAATGATCGAAAAGTTTACATAGATCCATCAAAATCCAGCGCTCCTAATTGAGTTATCGTCATGTCCAGCGCTAAGGTAAGGCGCAGGATTGGTCTCAATTTTCCAGCTCAAATCTAATCTCAAACAGAAAGTGATAAAACCAGAACAGGCTTCTAGTGCCGTGAAAAATATCAACTACGCACCTAATCAGACCTTGTACATTACGAATATCCCTTCATCAAAAATACAGAAAGATGATCTGAGACGCACGCTTTATATTCTATTCTCGACCTACGGACCAGTGCTCGACGTTGTTGCTTTACGGACTACCAAGATGCGCGGGCAGGCGCACATCGCATTTCGGGACATTGAAACAGCCACTATGGCCATGAGAGAGTTACAGGGTTTCGAGTTATTGGGTATGGAAATGGTAGGCATCAACTCTGTTAGCGAAGCAAACAGGCTGTCAATAATTGGTTGTCGTTGACTTTACATTTTTAGAAAATACAATTTGCCAAAACAAAGTCAGATGTAATTGCAAAGTTGGACGGCACTTATCGCATGCCAACCCATGCTGCTTCTACTGCTGGCGCTGTAACTATTACTGAGTTACAACAAAGTATTTTTAACGCACCTCCTTCGACTGCTTCCTTACCACCAAAACCACCAGGTACCTTGAGGCCACCCGGAGATAGTATCACAGATGGCGCTAAAAGTCCAAACGCAAGTATCTCTGGGCGCAAGAGAGAGCGGGAAGAAGAAAATGAAGCTGAGGAGGATAGTGAAGGGGACGTTTCCATGGACGAAGATAGTGATGACGAATAAAGCTTAAAATAATTGCTATTGTCTGGTGTTGGGAGTAAGGAGTTACTGTGTGAATATTTCTGGTGATACGCAGACTGTCAGTCTTAGTACTGAATATAAGGCCAGAATTTAATTACGAGTAAAATCCCTACGGACTTTTCAGCTAATCTTTCTCGGCTATGATTATGTCCGCAAGTTAAGGGCGTCGAAAATATCTCTAGATTTGGAGCCTCACAAGTGAACTAGGGCAATTTCAGGAGGAAGCCAGAGCCCTATGCAAACTCCGACAATTCCTATCCATACTGATAGGTAATCCTCTAGGGGACAGTTAAAATCTTCCATGGCCTCTTTGGTCTGACAAGGATGGACAAAGAAGGCAGGAACTCCAGTTACTGGATTAGGCTATGTAGATGGGTTAATATGTGGAAGTGCATGTAAAGGTAGTCGAAGAGCTCACAGCTGCCGAGAGAGCTCCAATGACACCTGTTGATCTCAATTGAAGTTGATACTGAGGCTGTACAAGGTAACGGTATACGACCTCTAGATCAAGACCTGATTCTTCTTCATTCAAGCCATGGAGGGTGAACCAAAGAGTCGGCATATTGTAGGTCGGGTGCAGATGAATTTCATAAATGACGTAAGGTTGAGATGAGTGCTCCTTATATCTGGGGGGAAGATTTAGGGTTCTAAGAGCTTCCTATTGCATCAATGAGTTCAAGGTACAGAACATAAACCTGAAGTTGTTGTAGATCACGTACCTCATCCGTGTCTTCAACCATAGTATCAATAAGTGTATCTGCATAATGATCATCAAGATTTTTGCAACTGCTTATTGTAAATTTATCAAATGAAAATGATAACTCATCAATGTTTTGACAGGGCTTGAGCGGCCGAAGTATCTCTATAAAAGATGTTCCGGTAGTTGCTACTCGCCGACAACGAAGTTTAAAGCCACGCCTTGTTCCCCCCATTTCGGCTCTCACATATCTTTGATCTAAGAAAGCACAAGCTAGATCAAACTCTTCTTTAGTGACGAAGGGCCACTGTTTGTAGCCGCTGTGATGAGACATTATCGATTCTAGCAACTAAGGTATCCAACAAGTTGGTATCGCCCAGTTGAGATGCTGTTGTACGTTTCACAAACGCAATGTCAAGAAGGATAAAGCCGAAAAATTCCGCTAGAGAATCATTTTACTGTGCTGGGATTTTACCTGATTCAGTTCCTGATCACCCCCAGGATACCCCAAGTTATTGAAAAGCGGGGCCCCATCCTCGACACTCCCTACAGTTGAATGTTGCATGCCGAGTTTAATTTTGGAGACCACAGTTTAGCACAACCGCGATCCGAGCGCAAGGTAAGCTAGCCAACCATGCGAAGTACATTGCACGTGTGGCATGGAAAGGACATTATTGGCATAGGCTACATAGTTCTACATTCACATTTCAACCTTTGATAAGAAAATTTCTAGCATTATATCAATCAAGATTATTCTGTAGTATTTCCACAATATATTGTCAAAATAATATGAAAAAGTAAGAAATTTTGTGTATAGGTATGCAAGACTGAGTAGCCTGGACCACAGGCCTTCCAGTTTCGGAGAATGCTTCTGTATTCTCTAATTCTTACTGCTAGTTAGAAATTGAAGCCTCTAGTTGCACGGCACGGGCTATGTGATTACTGCTCGACTACATAATAGATATCCTACAAAACTTCGTTGAGGGCAACTTGGATTGGCTGAGTGATGGCTATGTATAGAGACAAGAAATACGACCACCCGCCATTAATCTGGAGAAGATCGAAATGGAAAAGAGGATTAAACTGCTGGGCTTTAATACTCGTCCTTATTACCTACACTTTCTGGAAGATTTCGAAGAGAAACTTCGACCAAGAAAATATAATTAACAGGAAGAATTGGGATCGCCTCTCCAATTCAGAAAAACATGAAGACAATAAGACCTGGTTAGAGCGTAGAGAAAGAGTAAAAGAGGCTTTCACTATGAGCTGGGACGCCTACCGCCAATACGCATGGGGTAAGTCTACCAAGTACATTGACAAACAATTGACCAATTTACTAATAAATTTCTCCAAGGATTTGATGAATTTCATCCCATCTCAAAGAAAGGAAGTCAAATGGCACCAAAAGGAATGGGATGGATTATCGTCGATGCACTAGACACGATGATATTGATGAATCTTACCAGCGAATTATCACAAGCAAGAGAATGGTTGACAAACTCATTGACCTATGATCAGGATCAAGATGTTAACACATTTGAAATCACAATTCGAATGTTAGGTGGCCTACTTTCTGCCCACTATTTATCAAATGAGTTCCCAAACCTAGCTCCACTGGCAGAAGATGATGAAGGAGCTCATGACGAGGATCTATATCTCGAGAAAGCGAAAGATCTAGCAGATCGAATAATGGGAGCTTTTGATACGCCATCAGGATTACCGTATGCTAGTTTCAACTTGAAAACATCAGAGGGAATTCCATCTCATGATGACCCTGACGTATCTTCCACAGCCGAGGTATCTTCTTTGCAGTTAGAGCTCAAGTATTTGTCAAAATTAACTGGTGAGAGTTTCTATTGGGAGGCTGCCGAAAAAGCTATCAAAATAATTGATGACAATAAATCTCTGGATGGTCTTGTTCCCATCTACATAAACATTCACAGTGGGAAATTCAAAGGTAATAACATCAGACTCGGCAGTCGCGGTGACTCATACTATGAATATTTGATCAAACAATATTTACAGACATCTAAAGAGGAACCAATTTATGAAGAAATGTGGAATGAGGCCCTAGAGGGCATTCGAAAGCACCTAATAACTTATTCCGAGCCATCTAGATTTACAGTATTAGGGGAACGACCTAACGGCCTGACGGGCGAATTATCTCCAAAAATGGATCATCTAGTATGTTTTGTCCCAGGTACTATTGCGCTGGCTGCGACAGGCGGAATCTCAGAATCAGAGGCCAAAAAGCTACCGTATTGGAGCAAGAAAAAAGACGAAGAAATGCGACTTGCAAGAGAACTAATGCTCACGTGCTGGGGTATGTATAAAGTTATGGCAACTGGACTTGCGCCAGAGATAGCTCATTTTAATATTAAAAGCCCACCCCTCCCTGAGTCGGCTCAACATAAGGCACCCGAGGACCTGGTCGATACTGAGGAAGTTGAATGGAAGAAAGACTTTTTGATCAAAGTTAACGATAATCACAACTTACAGCGACCCGAAACGATCGAAAGTTTATTTTACATGTGGAGGATCACTGGGGACACGATTTACAGAGAGTGGGGGTGGGAAATTTTTAACTCGTTCATGGAGTATGCTTCTATTAATAAAGGACTGGGTGGGTTCACGAGCCTGTCGAATGCTGAAATTATTCCCCCTACCCCTAGAGATAATATGGAAAGTTTTTGGCTCGTGAGTCTTGTTTTTCTTTCCTTACAACGTTAGATACTAACCTTTATCACTAGGCCGAAACCCTTAAGTATTTTTATCTTCTGTTCTCTCCAAATGATTTGATCCCTTTAGACCAGGTTGTTCTAAATACAGAGGCACATCCATTACCCCGTTTCAAACCGGGACCTCTGTTTAAAACCGGCTGGAAAAGAAAGTCGAGGATGCCCAAGATTCGTTCAAATAACTACAAGACATAATAAATAGCCATTGTAGACGATCCAACCATAGTATATTCGTGTTAAAAATGCCTTTATCTCAAAATAAAAAATTTCTGTATATAGAAAAAAACTGATAGCTGATGCAAAATATAAGTCCTCAACCTAAACCGTCTAGGGGTAGTATTTCACTTATGTAAACTAGGCTAGTCAGATCATATAACCTTCCTAGCAGGAAGTAGATTTCATCGGTAGCAGTAGGGCTCTCTATCCCCAACCCCTTTTTCTATTGCTACCTCGGACTATACAAGGCTCAGGGCTACAGGGCATAGAGTTCTTTCTTCAGTAGAGGGAATTTATGCATTCAATAGCTGGTTGCGTACAACAAATTTTTTCGAAAAGGCACAACGATAAGTCTGATTCGAACGGAATCACTAATTGACAAAACAATCTTTTTTTTCTTTTTTATTGTAAATTATTTTCTTCATTTGGTACCAACTGCATATTACGAGATTCGTTGCACGGACTACATTAATGTATACAATAATCTTCGAGCGTAGGATGATATGGTCCTGGCTTTCATTTGCTTTGTTGGGTCTGTGTAGGCGCCAACACGTCGGGTAGTTTTTTTTAAGGTCTACAGGGCTTCAGCTATGGCCAGGGACCCTTCCCTTGGGGGACATGGTGACAACTATGTACTAAACTATATGATACTGAATTGAGAGCCTGAATGCCTTGGAAAATAAACTTGTTAAGGTGCAGTGAGCGCTGTACAGCGGGACACTCACATGGACATGAGCCGATTGGCACGGATCGGGCAAATTTCCGAAAGGTACATCGTCTTCTCCAAAATATGTTAGAAATTGTCAAGGATTTCTAGAAGGAAATATCTTGAAGAACAAGTGTACAATTTTGGACAAGAATTTATTGATAGTTGTATGTGATATCGAACTCTCTTCTCAATATGAATTGAAAATATATAATACTACGTTAACTTAGTTTTAGATATTAACATGAGTCTATCCTCAAATACTGATCCCGAGGCTTTAGTGATCCCGAACTCCTAGTGATCTAGCAACAACCAGCCACTCAATTATCACAAGGTAGCATTTCCTAGTCACTGCATTCCACGTGCCACTGAATCTTATTTTTTCCAACTGAGCTTAATCATATTCAATCGAATCAACTCAGTTGATCTACATGATCATACCTAGAAATCTAAACCCTCATACATGCTGAGGCTAGATTTCCAACAAAATAAAAGAAAAACACTTAGCACCACGGGAGGAGCCAAAAAGCAAATCCAGCTTCCCCAGGCTTCTTCGGTAACCAGTTGAGGGTAACCTCTCGCGAACGAGGGCGCAGAAAATTTGGTGGCTGATTGGCTTGTCACCGCCGCAGGAGCAGGGCAAGTTGGTGTCTCCGTGGCAGAAGCAATCGTGACAAGCGCGAAAGTCTCCGGGTCCAGTTCGGCAGTGAGTAAGGTACCCAATATTGCAGCGAGGGAGCCGTAGCCACTCGGGAGGTTTCTTGGGGAATGGCATTCCTAACTCACAATAGGTGGGAGGAGCATGATGTTTTTTTGCATCAGAGTTTAATTGCGTATGCAGCTATTTAGCTATGACACAATATCAGAGAAGTGTGTAATAGATGACTCAATTTTCAGGAAGAGCACTCATGCCTCGGATTTCATTTGCAAGTACCGCTGCGAAGTTATGGCGGCTTTTTCTCACCCCAGGTCAAGCCTTATCCGTGAATACCCACCCAGGAGAACGTCTAAAAACCTCAAGTTATCCAGAAATGCCTCCATCATCTTTCAGCTTCTCTCCGCGCGAAATATGGTCTGAGGCGTCTCCTTCCCAAGTGGAGTAGGCGCCCAGGCCACTCAAACTACACCGGAGAACACCACCGGGAGGCGGGCCACGACACCTTCCATCGTTGGCTTGTGTTTATAGTGTCAGCTGCACTCTTCGACTTTGTCTCTTAGTCTGTAATCATAGACACGGAAATAATTCATGAGATTGCTATGGTGAAAACGGTATGAGTCCGATGAGTAAGGCAGCTCAAGGAATATGGGCGCGATTTACGAATAGAATAGAATCAATATGAGTCGGAAGAAAATATAGTAAGCTGTAGAAAGAGAAGTGCGATATAGAATGAATTGAATTGATTAACCTGTCTTGGATGCTCCTAGACAGCTTATATACACGTATCTCAGCAATCCAAATCCAAACCAAGGATCGACCCCGAGCCTAGTCCCATGCTCCAGCAATTACAATGAGAACAGGGTCGGTGAGTCAAACTATACCCGACGGGTTATCACATCTCTCCATGTTCCAGTCGAGTCTCGTACACCAAACATGCTCAATGAGGTGACTGTTACTGACCCCAGTCGTGACTCAGGTGTGAGAACCTTTGTTGTTCCAATCCTAGGGAAACTTCAAACATCCAGCCTGTGAATTTCCAACAATTGCTTAATGAGAGGCTAGGATTGATTCCGATATAATATTGTAGAAGACTTGTCCCAACTGTCAGAGGGCTACGACGTCTCTATCTATCTACAGGTAAACTCCCAATTTTACAATCACGCTAGCCATACAGGACGTAGCATATAAAACTTGATTCGTATTTTCATTTCAGGCTTGAGGTTTGCCGTGCGTATGCTACTTGAGTCGCATATCCGACCGCTATGCGACACGCTCAGGTATCAATCTAATAACCCACACCAAACCGAAACTACTCACAATCCTGATGATGACCCTATGAATGATTGGAACTGTAGCCTACAAAATAGCACAATTAGGCTAGATATCGTTGATCAGGACCTAATCCGAACAATGTTCTACCTCGCTTAGGTAGAAACATTATGTTCTGATTACGTGATGGAATAACATTCACACCACCGAGATCATTACTAACCGAGACCTCACCAAAGCTGGTAGCGATCGAAGATAATTAGTCTTCGTCTACTCCGCACTGCGTGTAGTTCAGTCTGGCATGTCTAGATTTTAACATATTCATTACCTGAGATACCCACATGGCCAGGTGGCCACATCACGCGGACTTTACTAGGGGCTGCGATTGGCAGAATTCTCCTAAACGGCCACTGGGAGGTGAGATTTCGGAATTCGAAAATTTCCTGCTATGAGGTTTTAGAAGGTGTTGCATCGAGAAGGCGTCGCGCTGCCTCTTCATTGTCTAAAATCACGTGGATATTAGCTGCCAGGTGGGTAGAGGGTGCTGCTACAGCAGCATTAAGCCCTCCGAGGGCATTGATTGGCTCGGAGTCATAGACCACAAATTTGGGGCCTAGCGGGACTCTTACTGTTGCTACGGTAGTTCCACTATGGAGAACGACGGCACCTGCCCCAGCAGATCCATCTTTTTGTCTAGAGCCGTCCGAGAAGACGAGAATGTCGTATGGTGGTAGGTTTCTAATGCGCTGGGAAGTTTCTTCAGAGGAAAGTCTAGCCAGAGTAAAGATTGGGGGATTTCTATACGAGGGCGGTACAAGCCGAGGACGGGGAAAGTGGGAAACGAGCTGTACTTTTCCAGTTAAACGGGTCTGCGCCCGGGGGTCATTGGATATTTTGACCAAAGGGTGAAAGTGGTCAGCAGTAGCTATTCTAATTGTAGATGTGAGACGCGTCTCTTCAAGTAGAATGTGTGCCAGATTAAGACACAATTTCCAGAGAAATGCTGCCGTGGGTGTGGTTTTATATACTGGTAGAATTGCTCTAGCCAAGTTGACCAGAGCTCGAGAGACTATGGATACAAGGTGTTGGGATCGAGTAGAAGTCAAGCAGCCACGCCGGACATGAGTGTCTCCACGCCACCATACCTCAGCACCGTACAAAAGGACCGGAAGTGCTGCAGAAAAGTTGTTGGTACCCCACGGCTGGTATTTCCAAGCTGTCGAATATGGGCGATAATCCTTTGCGTTTTGGCGCTCCATTCCTGCACATGTTGTTTAAAGGAGAGCTTGGTGTCGAGAATGAAGCCTAGCCACCTCAGAGTAGAGTTGGTGGTTTTTAAGACGCCATTAATGGCTACAGGAGGTGGAGGTTGACGGGATCTGTGATGATGCAGTATTTGCGTCTTGTTTTCTGCCAACGAGAGTCCGTTCTGATCGCAACATCGGGTGATAGTTCCAACTCTATTTGCGGTCAAACGAGAAGTATTGACCAGAGATTTTGCGACCAAAAGGATGGCTACGTCGTCTACGTAACCATAAGTAGGAAACCCAAGTTTGAATACAGGCTCGAGAAAGAGGAGAAAAAGGATAGGGGAAGCGAGGGATTCTTGGGGCAAGCCATGTAGAATATCCAAGAAGCCACCAACAAAATTGTCCACTCTGAGACGAGCTTTCCTGCAACAAGAAAAGGAAGCAGCCCAATTCACGTATGGCAAAGGCCATCCCTGTTCTCGAAGGCGGCCAGGCTGAATGCTATCGAAAGCAATCTAGATATCAAGCGTAGCAAGCGTAGCAAGAGTGCAAACTTGCTTTGTTTCCCATGCTATTTCGACGTCGTGAACCAGACATTCTACGAGGTCCATGGCTGACCTTCCAGGTCGCGCTCCGAGATGCGTCGGGGAGATAACGCGATTTGATAGGGCCCAAATTGCAAAGCGTCTAGCAAGAAGATGTTCCAGCCTCTTCCCGAGGACCAGGAGAAGCGAAATCGGTCGCCCATTTGCTGGCTTAGTGAGATCATCCTTATGTGGTTTAGGAATAACCACCACTTCGGCACGGCGGAAGATGCTGGGATAGTGACTATATGCCAGGCAGAGGCTGTATAGGTTAAAAATCCGCGAGCGCCATGTATCTACTCCTCATACCAGGTGGAGAGCTGAGATAGAGAGGTGGTCATGTCCAGGAGTAGTTGACAAAACTTCCAGAAGAGAGTGGCGCACTTTATCTTCGTCCACAGAGAGAGAGTTGCGAAGATCGCACGCAGTGAGCAGGTGGGTGTGTTTCTAGGTATATCCGGTTGACCAATTGTGCGGGCAAGCTTAGTTCGGAAGAATATGTCTGCACGCTC